AAAAAAAAAAAAAAGAAAAAGAAAGAAAGAAAGGGAGGGAGAGAGAGAGAGAGAGAGAGAGAAAAGAAAAGAGAAGAAAGAAAATTAATTTAAGAAAAGACACAGCATTATTACAAATCCCACAAAAATCTGAAATCCAAAACACTCCTTATTCCAAACATTTCAGGTAACAGATACTCAATCTGAATTAAAAAAACAAAAAGGTAAGCCATAGACTGGGAGAAAATGTTCACAACATACATTATGTCAGACAAATGACTTGTAACCAGATGATATATATAAAAACTTTTACAACACAGTAAAGACAACCAATAACCAAAGGGCAAAGATAAGAACAGACACTTCACAAAAGAAGACATGAATGACCCATAAGCACATGGAAAGATGCTCAACATCATTAGTCATCGGGGATGTGCAAATTAAAATAAGATACTACTATATATTCTTCAGGATAGCTGAAATTTTTTAAACTGACCATATCAAGTGTTGGCAGAGATATAAAGCAACTAAAATTCTCCTATATTGCTGATAGTAATGGAAAATAGTACAACCACTTTAGAAATGAAAAAAAAAATGTAGATCCCACCAACTAGTTTTTCCATTTTCCTTTCTGCCAGTCTTTATTCAAATACAATATGAAATAGTTGGAATTACATATATAATTTTAACTCCATTTTCATTTAATAGTACATTATAGGTACCCCTCATTTACATAATACAAATTATTTGGACACTCTACTATCTCAGTGTTGATACTGTCAAAGACTACACATTCTAAAAAGTCCAGTACCAAAACGGATTATGTTCACTTTGTATGGTATGGCAGAGCCAACATGGAGGAAAAGGCGATTAGTTAATTCTGTTGTTTAATGGTGAAAATGAAGTTTTCTCAGTGAAATTTACCCAATCTCCCCTCTTCAAACATATTACCTTCTGGACAGAGTCCCAATGCTTCATAAGTAAGGAGTTCATTGGAAGAAAAGCAGTCATGAAGTTCTATTACATCAATATCACTTGGTCTCAGGCCAGATTTCTCATAGCATTTTCTGGCAGCTTCTTTACTCATATCAAAACCAACCTAAAACCAAAACCATATATAAATAAATTAAGGGCACCAAAACTGGGTCTTTTAGAAAGGGATTTTAAGAGATTAAAATATGTATAATCTTAATAGCTGAGAATTGATCACACATATTGAAATCTCAGCTGATTCCATATTATAAAGAAAGCCCAATGTACATGTTCAATTTTGTACTAAAAAAGGACAGAATTTTAAATGAAATATATGAAAAGTACTTAGAATTCCTCAGATCACATCTTGTGGTGAGTTACAAAAACTCTATCAAACTACAATGTATAGCTGTGGTAAATAAGTTGAAGAGATTTATCAACAGATCATTGAGATTTATCAACAGATCATTTTAAGTTAGATACACTGAAAAATATGGGGGAATTTCTATATGAAAATACACAATCTTCTTTTAGAAGATCATATAGGATTCAAACCATTTTTCCAAAGTCCATGCTCTTAATACCTCCTTGGCCTCAGACAATAAAGGAACATGCAAACTCAACTTTTCTTCAAGGAATAAAACTGCAGTGTAATGAAAAATATACTGTAATCAGAAAACTATTTTAAATATAAGTTCCATCTCTGCCACAACCTAACTATGACCTTGGGCAAGTTATAAGGACATTTTCAAATTCACAGAATTTTTGTAAAATCATTTTATAAACTTGATTTATCATATAAGAGTGTGTGTGTATGTGTGTGTATGTGTGTGTGTGTATTATCTCAGTGTTGATGTGTGTGTGTCTTCAAATATTCAATAAACTCTAGGTCTGAATTCTCATCTTTTTTTTTTTTTTTTTTTTGAGACAGAGTCTTGCTTT